GTACAAACTACTAAAATACTTTCATCTGCAAAATATCCTATGCTTTCTTCTTCTATACCAATATATAATTATTTAATAAATAGACTTGAAGCATATTGTGAAAATTTAAATAGTTCTAATGACATAGTAATTGCTATTAAAATAAGATTAAAGAAACTTGAGTTATATTATAAACAATTTGATGAAACTACTATGTATACAATTACTACTGGTAAAAAATATAAAATAGTAAAATTTTTTTACAAACTGAATAATAATATAGATAATTTTATAGTGCTTGATCCACAATTTAAGTTGGATTACTATGAAGACAATAAGTGAAAATAAAATTTTATTTGATATACAAAAGAAACAGTTCTTAATGTTTATAATACTAATTATGCATCTGGTTATATTAATGTAGAAGTTGCTAATAATAATGATGATGATGAATTCTTAAATCACATTTTTGGTAAAAAGAACAATCATCAACAAAATGAAGTAGAAATGTATTTAAAAAATTCTCAAGCAGATCAAAATCAAGATGTTTTATTGTGGTGGAAGGTATATATTTAAAAATAATTATTATATTTTATTTGATTTAATTTTACTAATTCATTAATAAACATATATAGTTAAATGAAGTAGAGTATTCACACCTAGCAGCAATAGCAAGAGATTATTTTGCAATTGCAAGTAAAAAAAATTTATTCATTTTAACGTTACTAAATATTAGTTAATAAATAATTTTTAATTTAGTTACAAGCGTTCCAGTAGAACAGATCTTTTCTAGCGAAACTGATTTGATAACAGCAAAAAGAAGCAATCTCAAAAAAAATACAATTCACGCCTGTATGTGTTTGAAGTCATGGTGGGAGTAAAGAGGATTTAATTAGAATATGTTTTATAATTTTATCATAAAAATTTAAATAAAACTTAATTAGAATCTGTTTTTGTAAAAGTTATGCAATATATATATTATTGTCTTGCTGATCATAAATAAATTTGTTAAAAATTTTATTTGACCTGAGTTATCTAGGGATCAAACTATAACGGATCAGGTCAGGATCGGGTTTTATAAATATTAATCCAGGTATTTTTACAGGTTGATTTTTATAAACGGGTCAAGTCTGAGTACATCCTCAAACCTGACCTGATTCAACCCTTTCAGAATACTAGTTGTACATAATCTAGTAGTTACTTCACAAGCTATATCTATATAACCATGTCTGCGATTGTAACAAAGTACGTTGCAGAGCACAAACTCAGTAAAGATATGAGTAATGAAGAACTTAGCCAGCACGTTCTAAAATTACTCGAGCTTTTGACAGATAAACTAAAAAGAGACAAGAGCCATCAGCGCTTTCAAAAAGGTATAATTTTAGCAGAGAGCAGGCGTTTGTATTAGTCACTGATCAGAGAATTTATCGAAGTAGAAGTTGAGTATCCCCAAAGAAGGAAGGATAAAGTAGGAGAAGTTAATATATGCCAAGTATCTGACATCATCTCAGACAGAGAAACTATTGAAAGTATAGTCTAGCGTATTGTCTGAGATAATCTTAGCAGGAACTTAATGCTCCAGAAAAAATAATTTCTGTTACATTAGATGACAAAATAACCTATGCATCTAACAAGATTTAAAAGGAGCGTAAGGTTCAACGTGAAAATAAAGGGATTGATTTTCCAGACCACTTCTCGTTAGAATCAGTTAAAGAAAGATTGGATGGGTATGACATATCCAATATATCTAATCTACAAGCTCTAGCAGATGTAATAATAATGCTCTGCATCCGTCTCACTGAAATTAAAGACTTGCACATTTCTAATGAAAGTGTAACTGGATATTCAAAAAACTGAGAATAGCAGAATAATCCTCAGATATTTAGATCGTTAGAAAGAGATGAAGAGCGGGCTAAACTTCTCCTTACTTGAATTCAGGATGTAATTTCTTCTAGACAGTTGAGGGATCCAGAAGTACGAGAGGTTAAATAGTTTAATACATTTCTGAAAAAAGATAGATTTCTTCCTGAAACTGGTAAACCACTGCTCCCTAGCTATTTACGCAAATTAGAGGTGATATTTGCAGTCATTTTGAATGATGTGAAGAATTTATCAGAGGCTATGACAATTGCTAGTCAAGCCCTTCAAAATTTACCAGACAACCATGCCTCTTCAGCATAAAACTATACTATAGTAAATTATCAGTTAAGGGGAAAACCGTATCATCAGGCAAAAGCATTCAAATTCTTTGATAAAAACTAATCATATATATGGGTTAGAGGGTTAGAAGGGCTGAGCGTGTCAAGCTTAAGGCTGAGAATATTGAGTATGTCAAGCTTAAGGCTGAGATTTCCAAGTTTGAAGCTGAGAGTATTAAGCTTAAGCTGAGAATACTAAGTTTCTAAATTTTATCAAAAAGGATTACACTGATTTTGAGGCCTATATAGTAAAATTAAAGCATCTTAGTTTAGAATAGCCAGATCGTTTTGAAAATATTGAGGCTATGATTATTGAGATCAAGACTCAGAATGCAGAAAATAAATCAATTATAGAAAAATATGAAAAGGAATTGGAATGTAAGAAAAATCGCAAATTTCAAACTAGATGCATTCAGATAGCTAAGAAAATTCTTAATAAGGAGCCTATGATTGAATATCGCTCTTCTTTTTTTAATGGATTAGAGATTAATGCCTTCTTTCAAAAATATCGAATTGCATTAGAAGTGCAGGGGGCTCAGCATCGGCTTCATAGCACTAGCTGGTATAAGGATGTCAAAAAACTCAAAGATATAGTTAATCGTGATCGGCAAAAACAATGCATGTGTCAAGATAATAGAATTTCCCTTCTTGAAGTATAGTACTACAAAAAATCAGAAATTGTCATTCCAAAAAGGATACGAAAATTAAGGAGTTTGTTTGTCTAGCATCCAAAAGTTTTAATCAATAATCTTATAATACATGTAACTCTACATTTAATTAGCAGATAAATATATATTAGTCAAAGTCCCGATTCTTAGAATACAGGTGAAGTTCTGTGGCTAATCTGTACATCTATTCTAAGTGATATGAAATGAATTAAAAAAAAATGTTAAAGCAAATTGACTGCATACTATAGGTATAGTGAAAGTCAGTTTGATAATCAACTATAATGAGTATATAAAATTTTGCTTAGTAATCAAAATGAAACACAATTTGTCTATCTCTCAGCTTTATATAGAAAATAGCAAGTAGGCTCAGGATAAATTTGGTTTCACTTATTATTTTTTGTTTACTAATTTCTATTTCCAAAGAACACACGTCTGACTTAATAAACTATGCAAACCATGGATAAAAAAGATCGTAATGGATTTCATAGATCCTTACAGGTGAATTTTTACATGAAAAAAAAAGTAAATAAAACAGTTAGAACTCAATATAACAAACTCTTTGGTTCACTGAAAAAATTCGCTGTCAAAATTTAATTTGTTTTGATATAATAATTTTTATATATATTCACAAAGACAAAATTTTAAAAAATCGTTTATCGTGAAATTTGTTATGTCGTATAGTCGTTCTAACTGTAGTTTAATTTATTATAGGCTGTCTTGGGAAATAATAAAAGAATTCTTGAATTCTGAAGAATATAATTCGTGATTTAACAAAACATTATTTTATGCAGGCTAAAGGGAATTGTAATACCTTATGGCCACGAAGGCAAGATGGTAAACTTACCATCTGGTTGTTCGATTCTTATCATCACTGTATGAACACAACAGCTCTTCTTTGGACATACAGCATAAGTCAATCTCCAAAAGTGAAATGCAATTACAAGGCAAATCCTCCAATGAAGAAATTTGAAAACCAGGTCACATATCTGAAGAAAATGCAGTTAGTCCTTGTGGGAAAATTACTGAAAATAGGGAATTGGAAGGAGGAAACTCCTCCAGCCATGGTAAATCTCACACTCTCCGCTTAGAAGGAGAGGGTCAGGAATTATTTTTTCAGGGTATCAATTCATAAAAAGACTGGAAAATGAAAGCAGAGAACAGAGATATATAACACGATTGAACAAGTAGGGGAAGAGAGAATAAAAATGATGAAAACAATGTATTTAAATGTTCCAACCGAAAAAAAATTCAAAGGTTACTCACAATCCTGAGGCCATTGTTTAGAGTCAGTGTCCTAGAGGGTGCTTCATAGAAAGAAGACTACCTGAAAACATTATGCTACTTTATACTCCCTGATAGTAGGCCAAAAATGGAGAATTAATGAATCCATGTCCCTATTGTTGTATGATAATAGATTCAACTTATCTGGCAATAATCTGACTTTGGAAGTCGAAATGATCGAGAATGAATCAAACCATTATCATATTGCAAAATCTCTTGATATAGAGATACAAAGTGGTAATTTTCAAAAAGATAATATTTATCGTTACTTATTAGATATTGCACAATGCAGTTTTAATCATATAATTATTATTGGGAGTTGTTACTGTGACTTATTTTTTCTGAACTATTATGAATGTGTATTCAGATGGGAAGCTATGAATAATATGTTATAGTTTTTCAGAAGTTTTTTTCAATGCAATATCAGAGAAACCAGTACCATGAGGTGTCTCATTAAACGGAACTGTATGGGAGCTATCTGGTATTTATGCATATTTTACTTGTTCTTTTGTCTTAATATAATTAATTTCTTTTCTTTTAGATTTAGATTCGCCAGAAAAATACAATTCTCACCCCGTAAGTGATAAGAAAGAAAGTAAGAAAAAAGGCAAGAATAAGAACCAAAAAAAGCATCATTAATATAGGATTTTTAATTTCGTTATATTTATTATAATCGTATTAGGCTAGATAGTTATTGTTTTTATTCTTGTAATCATCAAATATATTTGCTTTAACAAATAAATATGCTATTAAAAATTAATCATCTCTTGAAAAAAGTGGTCAGTGTTCTGAAAAGTAGTTTTTTTCAGCAACATTAACCTATTAAATATTCAAATATTTAACTACTTTTTGTTTAGAACTTCGCACTAGTAACTTATTGTATCTATGATATGCAAATCTGCCCTATATGCAAAAAAGAGCATTGGTATCTGGAAGGCCACTAGTTAATCGATGGTCAAGGCAGTGAAAAATATTATTTAATTTACAAAAATATCAAAGAACTCGGAATCCTACTTGTTGAGATGTTACAATTATATTCTGAAAAATCCAGTCTGAATTCCTGGAAGGATCTCTTGAAGTTTCTAGACAAATAGAAGTGAAATAGATCATGTGAGCTGATCACCTGAAATGCACAGAAGATATTTGGGGGCTGTGCGATATGTGATTCGCATATATATTCGCATAATTTTTTTTTAACATTTATTTTTGCGTCATGTCTCCAGTTCACGCTAATATCATATTAACAAAACAATATTCGAATAAAAATAATTTTTTTGGCAATCAATATTTTGCATATGGGGTTTGGGGATATGTATGCTAATCCTTCGTCATTTTTATTGATTTGCAAGGGATTAACAAATGACGAAAATGTAGTGCGTTATTGCTAGTGAAGATTCAGAAATTGTTTTCTTCTGTGAATTTACAAGTATTATAAAATGGGCTGGATGACAAAAAATTGACAAAGCTAGTGTATCCAATATGTCGATTTCGAAACAAAGTAGGGCATGAGAAAAAAAGGCAAAACTCTGAAATCTGACAACCTATCTCTTGACAATCATAAGAAGCTTGTTTATAATATCTTGAAAAATCTCAAAAATGATATCATCAGAGATAAAGAAATTCCAGAGTTAGACCAATATTTGGAATGCAATAATGAGGTTTTAACGCATCTTTTGAAGGCATTTTCCATACTCTCTTATGAACATATTTTTTACAGAATATGCATTGAAAAAAAGCTTCTACTAATCATGTCGAATACATGTTCATTTTTCAATTGTGCAAAGAATGTTGATATCATAGAACCATTTCTTACTACTAATCAAGAGTCGCTAATTTCAGCTTTATCCAACATGATGAGCGAAAGGTTTATTCTATCTTCACCAACTATACGGATGAAAGGAATCGAGAATACAGGATTTCAACAAGTCAGAAGTTATTTAAGATGCGCCAAATGTTCTAAAGACCTTTTCTCGTATCTTCCACCCATAGGCTTTCTTCGAATCCCTCCTCAAGCTCTACCTCAAGATCCTTCAAAACCACTCATATACTTAACCTGCAAGCATATTATGCATTACCATTGCATTGACAGTTCACGCAAACTATGCCTTATCTGTCTATTAGCCAATGATATAGAATAGCGCAAAGAGAAAGAAATGGACGTGAATGAGGAAGAGAATGATGAGAATGAAGAAGTTGAAACAGTTCCTTTAGATTTGACTCAATTCAAGAAAACCCTCTCTAGCGGTAAGGGTAAGAAGAGGGCTAACAATGCTACGGAATCTTCAACCAGTAAGAAATCTAAGAAACATGTTCAGCTAGAGGACTCTAATATTTTAAATAAGTTTATCCAGAAGTTATCTTCAGATACTACTTGACTTTCTGAAATTAAGGAAAGGAGAGGACTCCAAAGAGAAGCTGTACTGGAAGTTGAAATTGATCAAACTCTTTTTAACCTATATTTAAAAATCTCCAATGCTGAGGAACGGAAGGAAAAGGCATACCATGAACTTATTGGGACATACTACTACTACAAAAAAGTATGAAGCCCTAAAGAGCTCTATAATGAGGTTAAAAATCAGCTTTCAAAAAAAGTTACAAAAAATGCTCTCCAAAAGAAATCAGACAAGGCGAGAAAAGTTTATGATCTTTTTTTCGTATTACTGATGATAAGATTCAACGGATGGTATTAATTCAATGAATAAAAACAGTTTCAGTGACAACTATTTTAAATTTAAGCGATGGTGATATCAAATATATTGCATCTCATGTTAAGAAGAATATTTAACAAAATTAAGCCAAGCGAGCTTGTGATATAGTGTTCATGTGATACATCAATTTTGAGATTGAGCCACGATGTCACATTCTCAAAGTTTAGCACTTTTTTTATATGTAGTATGTAAAGCATGATTATCATAAATTAACTAATAAAGTTTTGCAGTCTCTGGGATCTATCCATATCGGACTTAATGGTTTTTTTATCATATCTAATGGTACACCCAAAAATAAATGTGATTCTGTATAATATCATGTATAGCTAGATCCAGTGTTGGGAAGGCGAGAAGACATGCTGATCATCTCATGATTTATAGAAGGAACACTCCTAAAACTATCGAGAAACTGGTAGGGAGATCTCATGTGATACAATATACGTCATGCCACAAGCTGATTTAGCCAAAAATGCTGTGCATAGATATGTAAATATAAAATTAATCTGAGATATGGCCCTATATAAATCCCCGATATACCTGTAACTGAATAAAAATAAATCTGATATTTTATTATAATATAGTTGTTACAAACTGTTATAAATCACTATAAATCGATAAAAAATAGTAAAATTGTTATAAATCTCTTAACCAGTAAATCTGCATAAATTTGAATGGTGATATTGTCTAGTATAGGTTGATAAAGAATCAATATAACATTTCGAAATTGCTAAAAATGCTATAAATCAGCTATAATTGCTATAATTTGTTATAATCTAACAAAACACTAATATGGATTTAGATAGTAGAACCTGTTCTAAGCTAGTTGGAATAAGCTATAGTGATGTAAACTTTGAAGTATACAGAAGAATAGTTGATGCATTAGGCTTTTTAACAGGAAGATATGATCACGAAACATCAGAAATGTGATGCTCTCGTATTTGTGATCTATTTAGGAAAATACTAGAAGAGAACCTAAGAATCCTTTTTAAAAATGGATTTATTACAATGTATGAAAAATTATATGAAAGTAATAGTAAAGTTCACGGTTATCCATCAAATTATATATATTGTAATGTATACGACTCTCTAGTATTTATACCTGAAAAGTATACAAGACGTTCTTATCATAATCAAGATAACCACTTGAAGAGATATATTTCTAGAAATACTATTTTGAATAAACATGCAATAAGAAAAGAAATTCTTCAATTGATTGATACAAGGGAATTTCAAATCTGGCAATACAAACAATACATATTAAAAGAAGAGGTGGAAATGAAGCATCTCCAATTGGAGCTTTTATCCCAATCTATTTCATACTTAAAAAAGGATAAATTGGCATCGATATCATATAATTATAATACTTATACAATTCTCTATGAAGCTTATATGCAGGCTAAAACAACTATGGCAAAAAATACTATGCTAAATGCTTCAAATTTTGAGCCAGCTTATATTTCACCTATCAGGTAACATAGTGCAAGTGCATCTGAGATTAAAAATCTTTGAAACGATCAATCAAATATGCCTAATATTTCTAGCAAAACTACTTTAGGCGATCTTGCTAAAGCATATTTTGATTCTGTGTGAACAAATACAAGAAGAAAATAGACTTTATATCTTTCAACTGAATATTAGCATTATGTATCTTAATTATATTTAGTCAAACATAGCTTATATTTTATATTTTGCAAAATGATAGCTATATAATCTGCATGCATGATCGCCTAGTAAAATTAGTTGAAGGCACTATGTATGAAATGTATTACCTGCAGACACTATGCATGAGCTACCTATTCTAGGTTAGATCCTCGAATCTATAATTATTTTAATAAAGTATTTTTCGAGAAGTTCAGGAAGATCAATGAAGCGATCTTGGAGATTCTTGATTGCGAGATAATACAACTATCAGTTTGAGAATTTCTATGCAGTAGTTATCCAGCGAGCTTACAAGAATTATAAAAAAAGACCCGAGTCTTTGGTAAAACAGGTATGGGAGACAGTGAGAAATGATGGTATTCCTAACGATAAGAAGTTTTTAGATATTGTTCCTCGTGGTAAAAATATCATTTTATTAATGGAAAACTAATAGAATCTAA